ACCTTGTGCACAAGTGTTAGCATATTTTCACAAACATTTTCAAGGGGTTTAGCACTCCACTAGATCCTAAATGCATATGCAATGAGTTAGAGCATCTAGTGGCACTTTGATAACCGCATTTCGATCACGAGTTTCACCCTCTTAATAGTATGCTACTGTCAATCCTAAATGTGATCACACTCTCACGTGTCTTGATTACCAAAACAAAATAGCTCTTACAAATTATACCTTTGCCTTGAGCTTTTTGTTTTTCTCTTTCTTCTTTCCAAGTCGAAGCACTTGATCATCACCATGCCATCATCTTTATCATGCTATGATCTTCATTTGCTTCACCACTTGGAGTGTGCTACCTATCTCATGATCACTTGATAAACTAGGTTAGCACTTAGGGTTTCATCAATTCACCAAAACTAAACTAGAGCTTTCAGTAGCCAGCCACCCACCCGACCCCACCTTGTAGTGAGCCTCGCCGCACCGTGCTCAAATTTGGAGATGCCGTTCCGCCAGGTCAATAAGACCGTGTCGGTTTGCATCGGAGGCAAGCTCCCTATCCCGTGTAGCTCGTGTCGATTCCTTGCACCGCTAGCTTCGCCTCCACCTGCTAATCACCCTATGCACCTTTGCCGAATCGCTATCGCCGCCTAGCCTCCCCTGACGCAGCCACCGCACTGCCCGTGTGCACACGGCTAGCTCGGCTCGGTCTGTCTCCGGTCAATCCACCACGTCTGGTAGGTTCGAGGTGAGTCACTGATGCCCATCCTGGAGCTCGTTTAGGTTGTCTGTGCCTTGTCTCATGGGAACATGGTCGCCGTTGCAGGGAGGAGTCCGCTGTCGTGGAGGGAGCTTAGGACAGCATCTCCGTTCGCTGCGTCGCCGCCCATCGCTTCGGGTTTATGCCTAGGTGAGCATCGGCTCACATTTGGGGGCGGGAGGGATCATCGGCGGCGAATCGCTGTGCACTTGCGTGCCGTGCTGCTGTGAGTTCCTGTGGGTATCGCCGTTGCGAAGATAGGTTATTCCAGGGACCGTTTCATGTAATCGTAGACTGGCGGAATAATACACTTAGTGCTCGTGCAATTACTAGGTAGACCGAGGGTGTTTTTGCATATTGACCGGCGCGCGTGGGTTCTTTCCGTCGTGGGCCATCGCCTCACGGACTGGGCCACGCCCCCACGTTGGGCCACGCCGGTGGAGCGCGTGTGCGCATGCGCGCGCAGCATGGACGTGGGCCACGTTGTGTGTTGTGGGCCGCGCGGTACAATTAAGTTTTCTAATTTCTAGTAAGTAGTAAATGCTTATTCAATTTAGTTTTGAGCTGAACTTTAATAATTTGTAGTAAATCTTGTAGATGTTCAAAAATAATGAAACCAAGTTGGTTAGGTTCACAAAAATGCCATCGATCTGTTAGTGTAGTTAGATTATAGTTAGCTGTGATAATGGTAGGTTCATAAATTCAAATTAGAGAGCTTAGTATTATATAGATTAATATTTGTAGGAATTTTTTTGGCAAATAGATGATAGATTTAGCCATGAAATTTTTACAGTAAGACCATTAAATTATTATGTACGCACTGTAATTTTTGTAGCGCTAGAGTAGGTTGATAAATAGAATAGCTAGTACCCTTGTCTTATCATATATAAAATAAATCGGTATTAGGAGTAAGAATATCTTTAGTTGTTAAGATAATAAATGGCATGCTTCATACTTGTTAGTGGTAACAGTAGGTAACTTAGCACCTTAGTCGGTATAACTCACTAAGTAGATTGATAGATTTATTTTATTTTAAGAGCTGCTGTTATTGTCATATTACTAAGTGTTGCATTATCATTTCATGCATGTAGATCACGAGTTGGTAGGGTTCGTGCCCGTGGACGAACATGATTACGAAGAGGTCATTGAGGAGTACGAGGAGGAGGTCCTCGTGCAGGAGGGAGCCCCGGAGCCTTTTAGTGCTGACTTTGCTGACCCACCGCCTGCCCAAGGCAAGCCCCGGTGCATAACCCATATTTTTACTGATCACTGAATATATATATGATGTGCAATTACATTTCAGGTATTATACGGAAACTACATGCATAAATATATCTACCTATGAGTCCTACCAGTACAGATCGAGTAGCTGCTATGCTCAGGATTTCGGTAGCGTGAGTAACTTGTCGTTACTCACAATAGGTGATAATTATGATCACTCATGATAAAATGGTGGAAAGGAAAAGTGGTGGTCTCCGGGCAGGGATGTGGTTTGGGTACTGGTGGGTGTAAGAGATTTTGTCATGCGGCTAACAGGGCATAGCTTGGTTACACTTTTTCCCTGTCTGTGTCGGTTAAGGACCGGCCGTTGTATAAGGCTTTAGGCAAGTCACAGATTTATTATCCCGAGCACATACTTGGGTATGGGTGCAGGGAAGACTTGTTGCTCTCTTGTCGTGGGTTCCGGCTCTTTCCGGCCCGACTGATTGGAGGCGGAGATGGTGGAGGTCTTTGCACCGCACTAAGTCCGAGACTTAAAGGCGGGGGCTTGGAGTCCAAGGCCTTGTTCGGCTGGCTGGTGGCTGGCTAGCCAGCCCACTCATAAAATCACTGTTCACGTGAAACAGTATTTCCAGACAGAACAGTATTTTTCTCTCACAACAATCAGCTGGAACAGTATTTTGACTTATTTTTAGTCCTACCGAACAGGCCCCAAGTTTGGACGGGGACCTGGATCCCAGGATCAGGAGAGTGATGGATTGGTCCTGCTTGTGCCTGGGGTATAAGCGGGGCGTGTGTTTTCGGGGTACCCAGCTGGCGGCATTGATTCGCTAATCGTCGGACGATCCGGTACGGCTTGTCTACGGTTTAGCATCGTAGTAAGAACTGAAAGATGAAAGGTGATGAAATGAAACTGATTGCTCAACTCTTGCTTGAAAGTAAAACATGTGCTTACATAGAATGGCTAGATAATAAATTAATATGGCTATTAATAATAATATAAATAAGGACTCATTATTAGTATTGCTTTGTGCAAAAAGGAAACCAGTAAAGCATAAAGCTTTGCATATCCCTTAGAGTCGGGAAGCTATTCCCACTAGTCGGATAAGTCTTGCGAGTACATTGTGTACTCAGGGTTTATTTACCCCTGTTGAAGGTAATACGTGAAGAGTACCTTTGTGTAGATGATTCTTCTGGTGGGCATAGATGGATCCTTATTCTTTATCGCTACATGTTTATTTTTAATTCCGTTGTTTAATATTCCGCACTCTAACATTTGACAATGTAATAATAAATTTCTAAGAACTCTGGATGTATGAAATGTATTAAGTATTGTAACTCGTCCTCATTATTGGATCCTTGGAAAAAAATATGGATCTTTCGGGTTCTCTCTTGGGATGTGCCCAATGGATACCGCCCGATGTAGCTTGCTTTCGGGGTGCTTAGTGTCTGGTGGAAGACGAGCGCCTCCGTAAGTGCGTTATTTCGGACGGTTCTGCCACAGTTAGATAAGCAATTTTTTTCTCCCATTACAACTAGTATGAATATTCTCTCAAAGGCAGGATTTTTTAGCAGGATTAGCTAGGGTTTGCACTCCAGAGTTTTAACTCATTGACCGTGATGAAAGATTTTCCAATTCCAATACTATTTCCCATTACATACTTTTTTTTTGAAAGAAAAGAGCTTTTATATTATGAAAACTCTTTCCTACCATAAACTCCCAATTCATGGGCCACTCCATTAGCGCTTCGATGACGTTTTGAGACTTTTGAACTGCTGGAAGAGGCTCACTGTTCTCTTTGTTTCCTATCACCATTGCATTAGTGGAGAGGTAATTTTCGGCAAAGAAAATTATGACGACAATACTAAGAAATCGTATTGCAGATGGATTTATAAATTATTGATGCTTCATAGAACAAGGTTTTCTAGCCACGGCGATGTGATAGCACTACTACAAAACGATTTTAGAGACGGAAGGCTTTTTACTATGGAGGCGGGTCAATATATAGCCGCCTTTATAGTGCCCTCCAAAACGAGCCGCGTAGCTACGGGTTCTAGCCATCTCTAAAAATGCCCATATTTTTAGAGGCCACTCTATTTCCTGTCGTCTCTAAAAATAGGAGCTGCATAGTAAATTTGAATTTTCAAACGACCTCGTATGAAGTAACGACAAAAACAAAAGTTGTAGATCTCAAAAAGGTATGCAACTATGTAGTTGACAACTTTTTCATTTGATCATCTATGCAAAGAAAATTACGTTTGAATTTCTCACATTTGAAATTCGAATTTTTCAAATGACCTTGGATGGAGAAACGGCCAAAACCAAAGTTGTAGATCTCAAAAAGTTATAAAACTTTGTAGTTGATAACTTTATTTGAATTCATTTGGATCCTAAATATTTATTTCAAAACTGGACGAAGATAAAATGAGGAAGAACGAATATCTCATTTTGACATGAGTGTTGTATGGGTGGAGTGTTTAGGGGAAGAACACGCAAAGCCACAGGCCGCTCGGTTTGAACCCCTGCGCCCACGAAGCGCTTGTATTTCGCGCAAAAATCTAGGCGCTTAGCGACGGTGTGCACGTGAGGCTGTCTGGTGTGGTCTCCTGAGTTTTTTTTTTTTTGCTATTTTTTCGTTCCAGATTTGTGATTTCAGGAAAACCATTTGTAGAGACAGCTCGAAATACAATCGTCTCTACAAATCGATTTTCTAGAGACAGCTCCTATTTTGAGAGGCAGCTGGACACCCGCCTCTCTCTACAAATCATTGATTTGTAAGGGCCGAAAAGCAGATGTGCCAAATAAAATCTGTAGTAGTGTATTTCGCTGTCATAAAATGGAGGATCATAGCCACATATGCAAAGTGCAGTAGGTAACTGCTGTTGTCAAGGTTCATTTTGTCACAATATAAAGTTCTTATTTATCAACTCGACGTTATATATGGTATTATATTATCGCAACTTATAAATTACTCATGTGGGTATCGAGTATCGACAGCAATGGCCATTTATTCTAGCTTCGCCCTGCATGATGACGCCGACGAAAGACGAGGTCGGCGCCACGTTAAGCTCAAGCACGGACGCCGATGGCGCCAGCAGAAGCAAGGCAAGAGACGTGGCCCGTGGAGCAGTCGAGCTTCCTCTCCACCTTACCGAGAAGATCCTTTGCTGCATCAACCCGCTCGCGTCGGCTCGCCTCGCCACCGTCTGCAAGTCCTGGGCGGCCACCATCTCCGAGCGGCTCGCACGGCCTGTTCCCCACCTGTTCGTGTACCTGCCGGCTGACAACAAGTCAGATCGTCGCGGCCGCGTCGTTTCCGTCCCGATAGCCTACGACGGGGACGACGACGTCGGCGGAGCGCCCCCCGTACCGGCGGTGATCCCGAACCGCGTGCTCTTGGCAGATACGAATGGCCTGGCGTGCATCGGCGCCATGCCCAGTGGTCATCTGGCCTTCGCAAGTTGGTGGAGCAAGATCTTGGTCCTGATCAACCCGATCACGGGCGCCCGGCAGAGCGTCCAAGCGGAGGAACCACGTCGGAGTCTAGTTCTGGCAGCCGGCGGCGGTGACTCCTTCATCTCCGTCGGCACCGATGAGCACATACTCTCGCGGCGGGCTGGCGGCGGCGAGGAGTGGTCCAGGTGGACGGTACCGGCGGCGGCCGCGCACGGGATCGTCAACATCATATCGGCGGCCGTCTGTAGCGGCGGCTGCTTCTACATACTGGACGACGACGGGTACGTGTCCGTGATCGACGTCGCTGGACCACCGCCGCTCCGCATGGAGAAGCTCCCGGTGGCGAGCCTGTTTGACGGTGACCACGCCGTGGCCTCACCGGCAGTCCTCAAACCCCCCACGAAGGGCCATCTGCTCGAGTCCGACGGGGAGGTCCTCTTCGTCCGGCCAGTGCTTGCGTTCAAGGACGAATTATTCGGTGCCGGCGGCGGGACAACGTTCTGCAACCACGACGCGGCTGTGTTCCTCGCCGTCCTTGGCTTCGAGGTGTACCGGCTAGACATGAAGGACAGACGCTGGGCAAAGATGGAGAAGCTGCCGGGCGACCGGGCGATTTTCGTCAGCCCCGGATCGTCGTTCGTGGTGCGCACCTCGGAGACAGTGGGCTGCAGGAGCAACTGGATCTACTTCGTCGGCAACAAATGGTACTGCTCCTTGTGCAACAGGGACGCCGGCAAAGCCTGGGGTGTGTACTCCATGGAAGATCGGGAGGTATTGTTTGAGCATGCTGTAACCGAGCCGGGGCCATGCTCGGCGGCGACGTGGTTCTTACCTCGTGTAGTCTAAGGGCATGGATTATTTTGTCAGCAGCCGTCGTCGCGCAATGGATGGGATCGCAGTGGCTCAATAGCGTGCTTGCATGCACAAACAGGGGCAAGGCCCATGTAATAGGCGTGCTGTAACTGATTAAATACCGGTGTGTGTTCGTAGAAAAGGCATCCCATGTATAAACAAGAACATAATTTTGTGCGAAAGGATCTCCGTACAAGAGCCTCGGCAAGGTACTAGATTCGACTTCCTACGAGAATGAATATTTTGAGAATTGAACGATTTTTGTGTTTTCAGTAGGAGGTGATGTTCCCGTTGACTGTACCTAGTGTCGTCAATCTCGTCTCGAGGAAGTGCCAGCTCAGTCCTTGAATGTGCTCAGATAGGGTTTACGTGCGTGTGTTCATAGACGTCAGTGTACGTGCATTGTGAGCGTATACGTTGTAATGTATATATATATATATATATATATATATATATATATATATAATTTCCTAAATATTTCCTCTGTTCTCGGAAGCTTCCCATCCCCTCCGGGAAGATATCTAATATCTATTGCTAAAATATTTTGATGCGTTTTCTATTGTGAGCTATGGAAAGAAATCACAAAATTCTAGAATAGTTTCTACTAAAATCATAGCGAGTGTAATTAAAGAAATGTAATCATAGCCTACTCCTATTTTTGTTTAAAATCTGAGTTCTCTTTTGGGTTGAACCAGTCTATACATCACCCGTTCCTATATCCATTTGTCTAACACTACTAAAAAAACTTAACTAAGGCATTTGGTAAAAGGGTTCGGAGGTGGGCGGGTTTTTCAACCGCCTCCGTTAATGCCTAAGATTAACTGAGGCGGTCATTTTTATTAACCGAGGTGGTCACAATCAACTGCCTCGCAAAATCTATTTACGAAGGCGGTTAGCCTTATAAAATCTATTAATCGAGGCGGGCTTTATAATTGGCCCACCTCTAAAAAATAAATAGGCCATTTTCGGAGGCGCCTCAGAAAAAAGGCCGAGGCCCAGACGAGGCTCGATAGACACGATCTCATGTATAAAAAGACAACTTTAGGGTTTGTTGGCTCCTCTCGCACTCACCATTTTGTCCGCCTCCCTCTCCCACCGAGCCGCCTCTCCCTCACCCACCGAGCTGCCTCTCCCTCTTCGAGACCAAGACGGCGAGACCGAGCCTCCCTCTCACTCTCCCTCTCCACTCCGACCTCCCTCTCCCTCTCCACTCCGGCGGTAGCGTGCGCGGTGCGGTGGGCGTAGCCCCTCCTCCAGTGAGGGTGCGGCGCCTCCTTCGGCGAGGGCATGGCGCGCTCCAGCCCTCCCTCTCCCTCTCTCCACCGCTCCCTCTGTAGGCTCCCAGATCCGGTGAGGAGACCGGCTGCTCGCCACCACCAGCACCTCTCGTCTCCCAGCGCCACCACCAGCTCCTCTCGGTCTCTCGGTGGGCAGATCCGGTGAGAAGACCGGCTGCCGCGCTTGGATCTGACCAGTAGGAGGCGCTCTGGCGCGGAGGCAGTGGCGCTCTAGCCCTCCCTCTCCGTCGAGCAGCAGTCCCGACGGCGGAGCTTCGGCGAGGAGAAGCGGTCCCAGTGGCACCGCCGACGGCCTTGACGAGCAGGTGCCCAGATCCGGTGACCGGGTGTCCGGATCTGGCGAGCGGCTGCGACGGCGCGTACATCTGGCTAGCTGTGGCTGCGACGGCTCGTGGATGGGTTGGTGGGTCCATGGATGGGCTCGGCGGGCTTGTCCACAGGGTTTTGTTTTTTTTGTTTTTTATTTGACTTACCGAGGCAGGCACTACAATCGCCTCGGTTAAAAAGTGATTTACCGTGACCTTTCGATCAAGGCGGCTGTGATGTGTTTGAGCGTAGTAGTGTAAGTAGCTTGGAAAACATCAAATGGAGGTAACCGTATCTACTGCCTTACATACTAGAAAGAGGAAATTATTCCTTGGCCCTCAAGAAAATGCTGGTTAGTTTCTTGGCGCTTTTTCTCTCGAACTTGCTTATTTGGCCCTAAAACGAATTTCCTTTGGTTTTCTTGGCTGTTCTGTTAATTTTGGGCTAACGGTGTTAAGTTGCACGTGAAATTAGTGTTTTATCCCTGACGCCTAAATCAACAGTTCAGTAACCTACAGTTGCGCTATACAATAATTTCGCATGCGGCGCCGGCTACCGCAATGGCTGCGGCTGGGCGAAGGCGAAGCGGCGGCGGCTTTTGCTGCGCGCTTTGTCGAGCAACAGCGCTGCTGGGCGGTGATCCAGCAGAGATCTGCTGCATGGCCCGGCATGAAGCGTGCGTCTGTGAGACCAGCGTCCCCTGGGCTGCCCGAGCACCACGTCGCTCGAGCCTAGCAGCTGCCCAAGCACAGGAGCCCCAAGACGACACTCGAAGGTCCACTCTTGGCATGACCACGTTGTTGGAAGGGTGAGTTCCCATCCTCCTCGTTGTGTAACTAACAACTTGGCAGAGTCTTTTAACAATTGAATTAAGCAACATAGGTCCATGAACTTTGGATGACTTTATGGATAAGATTAGACAATTGATTATGATCAAGTGGAACCGAAGGAGAAAAGTGTCAAAGAACTTAGAAGGTTTGATTCTACCCACATAGTCAAAAGGTTGAATGAAAGGAGTAGAGAATTAGAGCTGGAAATGAACCTGACCCCATGAGCATTGAGTTTCCTACAGCAAGTGAGCACGCTAACTCAGCTGCAGCACATGCATCCAAACCGGCGATGGCAAAACCGAAGGTCAAGTCCAAACCAAAGGCAAAGGGGAAAACTAAGGAGAAGGTGCAAACTGTGGTCTCCTTAACTTGGATACTTGATATATGTGTAATATTCCTCATGCTTTCTATGTATTGTGTAATATTCACCACTTTATGCGATATCCTTAACATGGACGCGAACTGTGGTTTGTGGTTTAAGTAAGCTGTATTTGCTAATGTATCCGAACATGGACTTAAACATGACTTGGTTTAAGTATTCTGTACTTGATGCATGTGCCCATTAATTTCCATGTCGATTGGTGAACCTTATGCTTGAATCTATCGGTTTGTCAAGTGCAAGCTACAGTTGTTGCAAAATATGGTGAAAAAAATTTACTGTTAAAAGTTGTTCGTTGTTGAAAAAAAATATATTCTGTCCAAAACAGGTACTGCTATCCACAGGGTATCCTGCTGTCTAGAAAATGTCACTGCAAAGTTGGTGTTATATAGATGAAACAAATGGTATAATGGTCTTTTCCACTGCTACTTAGCAGCTTGGAGGATACTTCCTCTGTTCAGAAAAGAATGTAATTATGAAAAATGTGTTTCAAACAGGCCTAACTTTAACCAAGTATATAATAAATAGTATTAACATTTATGTCTCGAAATAAATTTATTACGAAAATATGCTCAATAACTAATCTAATGATACTTATTTTGCTCTCATGAGTGTTAGTATATTTTTATATAATTTTAGTTAAAGTTGAAACTGTTTGACTTTTTATAATATGAGAATTATATTCTTTTATAGACAGAGCGAGAAACTAAGGAGCAGTGTTAGATAGGGAATAAAAACAAACCCAGTACCCTAAATAGGGAATTTTCTCAAACATATCCGAACTTCCGAGAATCGACGGCCGATTCCATGTGCCGCGCGCTGCGCCTACTGGTTCCGGAGGGCGTCGGCCAGTAGCCCAAAACCACGAACATCCCAAGTCCCCAACAAGAAACCAGACGAGAGAGGAGGCAGCTGGAGTCGGCCGCTCCAGCCTCCATCTGGGAGCCTCGAGAGGGAGGGGATCTCCGGATGGCGATGGGTGACGCGACGCCGTCGGTGCTAATCCCGATGCCCAGCCGCGAGCGCGACCGGGACCGGGACCTGCTCGTGCCGACCGCCGCCGTCGCCACCCATGCGTCCCCGTCCGCCCGCACCGTCGCCGACTCCGACGACGACGAGAGCAAGCCCTCCTCTGCCTCCTCCTCCGCCGCCGCCGCCGCCGTGCAGACCGGCCGCGAGGTCGCCGCCCTTCCCTCTCCCCCTCCTCCCACTTCCGCCTCGCCTCGCACGGCGGTGGCTTCTCGAGTCAGATTTGGTCTGCCGAGAAATGTCAATGCGCCAATTGTTGTGGGATATGAAATGTAGCTGCTTTTTTGTGTTTCTTGTTTCAGGCGTTCCATAAGGTTGTGCATAGCTGGGCGTCCAAGAAGTTCATGACCGGATGGTATGTATGCTCCTTGGGTTCTGAATCTCTAATCCTCGATTCGTAGTGTCGTGATGGAAGTCACATTTTGTAGGGATTTTATTTGTGCGATGCTGGATCCAATGAATCTTTTGCCGATGTAGTTGTATACTGTGAAAAGATGGGATTTTTAAGCTTGGTATTTCGTTTGTAGGGCTAAAATGCCATTGAAACATGAAAAATGCAGCAGGTTTTGTGGTTCTGCTGTTGGGTTTATATCCTAAGATTGAACATGGATGCATGCTGATTGCTGAAGCTGTTTGTTGCGTACATTGTATAATGTCAATACAGTTTTGTGCTGTCAGTTAATTGCTATTGAAATTCTTGTGATGAACTATAAACTGAGTATAGACTGCACCTGAAATTGCAAGGGAATTGGTCATTTACTAAGCTGTAAGCTTTTGCTTCAAAGTACAAAGCTCAAAATTCCCATCATTCACTTTGTCAATTTTAAGCAAAAGCTTACAGTCTAGTAATTTTTTTGATTGGTTCTGTCATGGGTTTCACAATTGTTTTATATGTGGACACTGGTTTAAAGTATTTTTTTTGAATCCTATATATGCCACCAGACATGAAAACATTAGCTGTAATTGTTTACCTTCTCTGTTTCCCCCGTATTATGTGTACTGTCCTAGCAGAACTTCTAGATGTGTTTTCCGATAATTTTGCTGAATAATGTTGTCAGAATATCCTTCTGCTGGGTACAAATGGAGCAATGTGAATATGATATCATCCTTAAGCGCTTTCGAAGTGTTTGATGTTGGAAAACAGTAGAAATGAGAGTTAATACCACTAGAATGGTTCTTAGTACCAGTATGTTGATGCTGGCCATAAATAACATACATAAATTGAATAAGTTACAAAATGTAGCACCAGAAGATATTAGTGAAACACAGAATGAACTATAATTTTGTGCATTTAGATCGAAAAAGTTATGGATATTTTTTTTAAAAGATGAATTTAGAATTGTCTCACTGTATCTTCTTTTCTTTTCTCCATATCTCTCACAATAACGTTTCAATTCCACTTTCTACTTTTCTTTGTAGTTTCACCATTATCTATCTTGTTATTAATGATGTCATGATGTGGTCACAAAGCATAAGCTTAACATGAATAAATTTCATCATAAGTTGGCTATGCAAATGAATATTTAGGAAAGAAGCAATTTTTAAGTTTTCTGTCTACTTTATTTGTTTTGGCCTGACATATGCTTTGTCAACATGATTTAAGAAAAATGTGTACTATTTGTAATGTTAAAAAGCGGTACTATAAAATTGATTTCGCATTAAACCTAGGTGAACATGGGCTAGAATAATACATTATACTGAGTTGTTTTTTTTACAAGGCTTCTGTTCATCTAGATGGGGTCAGGGAAGGTTCAACATAGAATGAAATTTGAGATGAACCAAACGTTCTGATCATATTCTCTTTACTATAGTTTGGCATATTCACAAGTTATTGTACTGTTGTGTGCTTAAGTAAAAAAAAACTTAAGATTAGTGTAAGGTACATTCTTTTCCGGTTATTGCTTTATCACTCTACTGATGTGGTTTCCTTAATTCTCTTGCAGTGTCATCCTCTTCCCAATTGCACTTACATTCTATGTGACATGGTGGTTCTTTCGCTTTGTGGATGGGTTTTTCTCCCCAATATATGCTCACTTGGGAATCAAAATATTTGGTATGTATGAGATGCAGAGTGATTATTGCTGCAGTTTACTAACTTTCTAGAATACTTACCAGAACTCTGACTTGTACATATGGTGAGATGCAATTTTTATTGAAAACTAATAATGTTTATTTATGTAGCTCACTATTAGCTAAGTATTGCTTCAGTCTAGATTACTATTTACTTTTGTCTATTTTATATCTTAATGGTCATTAAACTTACTGCAGAATCTTAATTCATAGTGTAAGAGTGATGTGCACCTATTGGGGTGTTTGGTTGCCAGGCGAGTTTTGCCTTGCGTTGCCAGTTTGGGCGAGGCAAACCTTGCCAAGTCAGGAGAGCGGAATTGGCTCCCTCACAGCAGCAAGGCAGAAGCTTGCACTGCAGCCTGCAAGGTGTGCTTGCCAGCATTCCAAACACATCTAGCTGCAAATCCTTGCTGGGCAAGGCGAGGCAAGCTTTGCCAGAGGATCCAAAGTGCTGCATTTTCATTTACATGTTCGGCAACCTTGAGACTTAGCCATCTAAGTGCATTTCCTTGTATCTGTAAAATGTAACAACAAATTGAGTTTGGATACACAGCATGATGGTCTATTTAGCTGCTCGTTTTGCAATGTCAGTTCATGAAATCGTTAATGCTTATATCTCCTCATGACCATGAGCCTACCTTGTCCTGCTGCCCATAGATTTGTGCACTGTTGTGCAAGTGCATGCGAGACATTAGAATGGCTGTTTTTAATCTAGTGATGGATTCAAGCTTTTCCTTCGATTTGGTTCCTAAACTCCATCATCTTGGTTTACTATCAGTGCCCTGTTTCATTGCCTCACCATTGATCAAATTTGGCCAAGTATATTTTCTCAAATTCATTTCCCAGTTGCATTGTATACTAAGCAAACTAATTCTCTTTTAGCTTGTTCATGGAATCCTCTCTTCTTTGATGTTCTTTCTACGCTTTATACGGAAATCTCTAGAACCATCTTCGAATTTTCACTAAATTTTTAAATTTAATGCCTTTTTTCCCTTCTTGCAGGGCTTGGTTTTGTAACATCGATATCTTTCATTTTTGTGGTTGGTGTATTCATGTCATCTTGGCCGGGGGCATCTATCCTTGGTCTCGGAGAGTGGTTCATAAAACGAATGCCATTTGTTCGCCATATTTATGATGCATCTAAGCAAATCAGTGCTGCCATTTCACCTGGTTAGCTTCATTGCCATTTTATGATTCTAAAAATCATAATTCAAATGTGTCTAAGCAAATCACAGTTTCATGCAGATCAAAACAAGCATGCATTCAAGGAAGTGGTCATCATTAGGCACCCAAGAATTGGCGAATATGCATTTGGATTTATCACTTCGGAAGTTCTACTTCAGGTTTGTATGCCTTTACTATTTGATCTGGTCGATTAACCAATATCATAATATCATGATTATTTTTCATGCATTTTATTTGTGTAACCACTCAAGTTTTTCTCACTGTTCTGGTGATGTTGTTCACATGTTGTTTAAAATAATGCTTCTGAAAAATGTGCTGCAGCCATTTTCATCCATATTAGAAGTTCCTGCTCCCTGCAGAATTTGTTTTTCATTTTAGTTTATCCCTGTTAAACAAGTTAAGCAAATCATGAATCTCCTGAACCAGTCACTATTATAATTAACTCAGGCTGAGAAAGTCCGAAATTAATATTTGTTTGCGTACTTTGGCCCCGTTCGCTTCGCTGAAAAAACAAGCCGAAACACTGTTCCGGCTGATTTGTTGTGAGAGAAAAACACTGTTCCGGTTGAAAAAACAAGCTGAAAAAGACGGATTACAAGATAAGCGAACAGGGCCTTTGGGTGTTGGCGTGAGCTATTGGATACAACTACAAGCTTTGACTTTCTGAAAATTCATCTTGATTCATTCAACAACAACAACAACAAAGTCTTTAAGTCCTAAACAAGTTGGGGTAGGCTAGAGTTGAAACCCAGCAGAAGCAATTAAGGTTCAGGCACGTGAATAGCTGTTTTCCAAGCACTCTTATCTAAGGCTAAGTCTTTGGGTATATTCCATCCTTTCAGGTCTCCTTTTATTGCTTCTACCCAAGTCAACTTCGGTCTTCCTCTGCCTCTTTTCACGTTACTATCCTGGCTTAGGATTCCACTACGCATCGGTGTCTCTGGAGGTCTCCGTTGGACATGTCCAAACCATCTCAACCGGTGTTGGACAAGCTTTTCTTCAATTGGTGCTACCCCTAATCTATCATGTATATCATCGTTCCGAATTCGATTCCTTCTTGTATGACCGCAAATCCAACGCAACATACGTATTTCCGCGACACTTATCTGTTGAACATGTCTTTTTGTAGGCCAACATTCTGCACCATACAACATAGCAGGTCTAATTGCCGTCCTATAAAACTTGCCTTTTAGCTTCTGTGGTACCCTTTTGTCACATAGGACACCAGATGCTTGGCGCCACTTTATCCACCCTGCTTTGATTCTATGGCTAACATCTTCATCAATATCCCCGTCTCTCTGTAGCATTGATCATAAATATCGAAAAGTATCCTTCCTAGGCACTACTTGACCTTCTAAACTAATATCTTCCTCCTCCCGAGTAGTAGTGTCGAAGTCACATCTCATATACTCAGTTTAGTTTTACTGAGTCTAAAACCTTTGGACTCCAAAGTCTCCCGCCATAACTCCAGTTTCTGATTCACTCCTGTCCGGTTTTCATCAACTAGCACTACATCGTCCGCGAAAAGCATACACCAAGGGATGTCCCCTTGTGACCTCATCCATCACTAAGGCTAACAGATAAGGGCTCAAAGCTGACCCTTGATGTAGTCCTATCATAATGGAAAAGTCATCCGTGTCTCCATCACTTGTTCGAACACTAGTCACAACATTGTTGTACATGTCCTTAATAAGCCCGACGTACTTCGTTGGGACTTTATATTTGTTCAAAGCCCACCACATAACATTCAGTGGTATTTTATCATAAGCCTTCTCCAAGTTAATAAAAACTATGTGTAGGTCCTTCTTCTCCCTATACCGCTCCATAACTTGTCTTATTAAGAAAATAGCTTCCATGATTGACCTCTGGGTATGAAACCAAATTGGTTCATAGAGACCCGCGTTATTGCTCTCAAGCGATGCTCAAGAACTCTCTCCCATAGCTTCATAGTATGGCTCAACTTAATTCTCCGGTAATTAGTACAACTTTGAATATCCCCTTTATTCTTGTAGATCGGTACCAATATACTTCTTCACTCGTCAGACATCTTTTTCGATCGAAAAATATGGTTGAACAGTTTGGTTATCCATACTATAGCTATGTCCCCGAGACATCTCCACACCTCGATTGGGATACCATCCAGTCCCATCGTCTTACCTCCTTTTATCCTTTTCAACGCCTCTCTGACCTCATATTCTTGGATTCTCCGCACAAAAGCGCCTATTGGTGTCATCAAAAGAGTCATCCAACTGAAAGGTTATGTCCGTATTCTCACCATTGAACAATTTGTCAAAATACTCTTGCCATCAATGTCGGATCTCATCCTCCTTCACCAAGAGATGCTCTCTTTCATCCTCAATGCACTTAACTTGGTTGATGTCCCTTGTCTTTCTCTCACGAACCCTAGTCATCCTATAAATGTTGGTAAAGATCCTCGTACGTTCTACCCTTTGCCACACTTACAACTCGCTTTGTAGTCCTTTTTGCCACCTTGTACTTCTCTATGTTGTCCACACTCCTGTCATGGTCCAAGCGTCTATAGCATTCTTTTTTCTCGTTAATAGCCCTTGGACTTCCTTGTGGCACCATCAAGTATCTTTAGCCTTGCCTTCACTTTTTTTGGTTACTCCACACATCTCTGAAGCCACCTTCCGAATGTTGGTAGCCATCTTCTCCCACATGTTGTTTATGCCCTCTTCTTTCTTCCAAGAGCCCTCTTTGATAACTCTTTCCCGAATACCTCTGACGTTTCTCCTTTAAGTTTCCACCACTTTGTTCTTTCAATCTTAGCTTGTTTATCCCTACGAGCACGCATTTGAAAACGAAAGTCTGCCACAAAAGCTTATGTTGAGAAACAACACACTCCCTTGTTATCACCTTGCAACCCAAGCATGCTCGTTTGTCCTTTCTTCTGCGAGGACAAAGTGAATCTGGCTAGAGTGTTGTCCGCTACTGAAAGTCACTAGATGAGATTCTCTCTTTTTAAAGAAAGTGTTGGCTATCATCAGGTCAAAAGCTACTGTGAAGTCCAGAACTTCCTTCCCCTCCTGATTCCTACTACCATACCTAAAACCTCCATGAACTGTCTCGAAACCTGCGCTTGTAGTACCTACATGTCCATTAAGATCTCCTATAAAAATCTTCTCACTACTAGGTACAGCTCTAATCAGGCCATCTAAGTCTTCCCAGAACTGTCTCTTAGCACTCTCGTCGAGGCCTACTTGGGGGCATACGCACTAATTATGTTTAAGACCATATCACCAACGACAAGCTTGACTAAGATAATCCTATCTCCTTGCCTTGTCACTCCTACCACACCATTCTTGAGGCTCTTATCAATCAAAACTCCTACTCCATTTTTATTTGTGACTGTCCCTGTGTACCAAAGCTTGAAACCTGTATTGTCCACCTCCTTCGCCTTCTGACCCTTTCATTTAATCTCTTGAACACATAATATATTTACACGCCTCCTAGTTGCGGTATCAACTAATTCTCTTAACTTACCTGTAAGCGACCCTACATTCCAACTACCTAAACGGATTCTAGTTGGTTCGACTAGCTTCCTTACCCTTCGCACCCGTTGACTCAGATGTGAAGACCCTTGCTCATTTTTCACTACACCCGGGCGCCGATGTAGCGCACCACTAAGGAAGCGACGACCCGATCCTTGCCCACTTGACACCATGCCCAGATCGCGACACGGCGCGTCACCAAGGGGGTGCCCTTTTAACATCATACCCGGGTTCCGATATGGCGCGTCGCTAAGAGGGTTACGCCCAACGGTTTTCTTTCGGGTTTCATCTCCATTAGAATGGCTAGATTTAACGTTGGCTCGCCACGTTTATCACAACCCTCTTACTTTACCAGGGCTTGGGATTCCACTATGTTGAGACAACATAGGCGGAGTTAAAATTCATCTTGATTCATTAATTGTACTTAATGTGTTGTCCTAATGTGGAACGACAGATTTTTCCTAGGAACATATCTTAGAAGTAACAGGAGTTTGTGCAATTGTCATATGCTTTGTGAGTTGAAAACATTCAGTGTCCTAAGTAAAAAGAATCTCTGAGCCAAACATGTAGGTTCAGTTCATGCGTTTGGTTACTGAAATTGTGCATGTGTTAGCTAGTTTAATGTGGATGTAATATTGTATATGGATATTCCCTTTTTTATGCACAGCTCACAGCTGAGACAAAAGTTTACATGGTTGATTGCATTCATCTGGACTGTAAGCTCGTGTAAAAACTATTGCTAATGTAGTACTCTTTTTGAACTCAGGGTTATTCTAGTGAAGAAAAGATGTACTGTGTTTATGTTCCAACCAACCATCTCTATATTGGTGACATATTTCTGGTCAGCTCAAGTGACGTAATTAGACCGAACATGTCTGTTCGCGAAGGCATTGGTATACCCATCTCGGTTCTTTTCCCTTTTTTTTTGTTCCCGTCTTCTTTATATATTCAGATAAGTATGCTTTGAATTGCTTTGATGTTAAACATCATCTTATTGCAGAAATTGTTGTCTCTGTGGGCACGACGATGCCTCAAGTACTATCAATTCAAGAAACTGAGCCAAACCAGTTGAACAGGATCAGATCCACCCGAAGCTGAGAGATGACTTTACATTTTGTAATTTCGTGTTCCAGAGTCCTTGTTTGTGTAAGTACAGGAGTAGGTTCTGACAGATTGTACAGTCTCCTGGGTGGAAAGCAAAATCTGTGTGGACACATCTCACCTGAACGCGATTGCTTGTATGGCAGTCTCAGCTTCTTCAGAAATGTAACTCAGCAGTTGAAGTGGAGTTGACCTATGTTAACAGTTGTCAAGTTTCGCCGTGGAAGAATTTTCTTAACCCATTGGTTCATGCGTGCATGTCCCAAGAGTCTTGTGAGGCCTGTTTGAGTGGGATTTTTTTTGGCAGTCTGGTTCAAACTTGATCTGAATCCCTAAAAGATTGTGTAAAAGGCCTCAGGCAGTTTCGTTCGTTTGTCAAAGATAGCATGGTGCCCATTCCTTCAATTTTACTATAGCTAGAGAATGAATGATACAAACGGAGTCAGTTGCAGTATTTGTTATTTGCATGAAGTAGTGGCAGCAATTGTTTGATATACGTCCCAATATCTGTATGAAAATGGCTATATGTTAGAATTCAGAAAATATAGGACCTAAGATATAGTGTTTTTCTCTCACGACAAATCAGCTTCAGCCGGCTTATGAGCCGTAAAAACCTTCAGCCGAACAACATTGTTTTTATGTGACCGTTTAAGGTGATTTAAGTATGTAACTATGGTCTACTGCGACATTCAATCGTTCGTAACAGGATTCATCATCCCTCTCAGCATAACTTTTGAGAACACAGTATGCAGGATCTCTGGAGGGCTTACATAAGGGATTGTTTGGATACCAGGGCTAGTCACTAATTAGCTAAAAATTAGCTATAGTTGTCTAGCTAGTTGTAAAATAAGTTGCTAAGTCTACGCCAACATATCTGGAGGCTTATATATAAGTCTAAGAGCATCACAGAAGGTTTTTTGAAGATATAAAATTGAGGATATATTTCTATACACCATACAAACTGAATTTGGACATGACATTTTTAATTATACAATATATATATATATATATATATATATATATATATATATATATATATATATATATATATATATATATATATATATATATATATATAGGACGAGGCTAAAATGCACCTGGGTGCATTCATGCAAACAAATGCACCCGATCGCAACCATGTGATGCGAGCGAAGAGCGAGAGACGCATCGCTTAGACCAGATTCCACGCTGCACGATGCATAGCAGGCATTGGGGAAAAATGTGCTTAACATAACGAGATCCATGAAGGTCCTCCTCGATTAACAAACTCCACGTTCGTGCATGCAAAAAATAGATGGAGGCAACCAACCATGTGATGCCACATCACAGGTTAACCCACCAACCAGGAAGCATGCATGCAGGGAATCTTTTCTTAATTCGAAACGAAAAAATGCGATATCTCATAAACGACAGATCCGATTTTAAATCCGTTTGAACTAAGTTTTTTTTTAAAAGTATGTAGTTGCATCTGTGTTATAGCGTGAGTTGCAAGCACAACTACAACATAATTGCATCTTGGTTGTAGCCTAAGTAGCACTGCTTGTAACTAGTTATAACCTGGTGTAACCCGTTACTTCTAGTTACAATTAGTCACTATTCTGTTGCAACACAATTACTACACTGATTGCAACCGCTTGCAACTCCTACTAAATAGTGAGCAGATGCAACCAGATATAATTGCAACTTGACGTGATTATAGTGAGCAGATGCAAATAATACACCGAGTTATAACTGGTTGCAACTCGGTAGTAGACAAAGTTGCAATCACTAGTACATAGATATGCAACTCGTTTAAAAGATAAAAAATATACACATATTAGATCTAGTTTTGCTAAGCATATTTTCCTGAGTACAACACAACAAACGGTATGTCAATCAGGGTTATGGTTTTGGAGAAAAATTGTTCCAAAAATTCGAACCAACCAAAGATTCCATACATGCATGCTGGCTGTTTTTTTGTTGCACGTGGCTAACCTAGTTATTTTCTTGTTGGTACTAGATTCATTGGTCTGGATCATCACCATTGCCATGGCAATCAGAGCGCCCTGGCGCATACAAAGCCAACGACGTTTGATGTAAGAGGCTCCAGCAAGGAGATGGCTTCACTCAATTCTGTTCAAGCACGGGAGATTCTAACAGCTAGAGCTACACCATAATGGACATATCGATTATATGATTCTGACGGCAGGGACACGATTCTGGGTGTCTACTCAGGCTCGTTGCATTCATGTTGGGTAGTCCGCTGCGACTGCTCTAGACGGCTGGTTGCATCATCGTTTGTATACCAGTTGCAACTCATCCCTTGAACCGATTGCAACTTCCATCGTACACAAATTGCAACCTTGGTGATAGATAGGCATTCTATTTTGCATTCGGTTGGGTAGCAAACACCACCGGTTTGTAAATGTGCCAACGACGTGTACACCAGTTGTTGCATTTTGCATTTCTGTTTCTATACCAGTTCTAACTCAAGTGACAATGTTTAGCCGATTGCAAAGTTTTCATGCAGACACAAATTGCAACTCTAGTGGTAGACCACCTTGCAACTTGTGTGGTAGGCATTGCATTCCGTGCAACGAGTGCAGATATCCTCTCTAACCTGCGGTCCACACGCCAACAAGACGCTCCGCAGGACCCTCCCCACATTTTCCTGTCAAACCTGCGCTCGTGCATGCAAAATTAAATGGACACAACCAACCACGTGATGCCACCTCACAGTCAACCCACCCACAGCCTGTTCGCTTGCTCGTAAACGATCGTAAATTAACAGCCGGGAACAGTGTTTTTCTCTCACACCAAACCAGCCAGCAGTAAATAATCCACGATACGATACGGCCTCCCGAACAGGCTGCAGGAAGCATGCATGGATGGAATCTTTACTTGATTCGATTCAAAAAAATGTGATATCTCCTAAACCACTGATCCGTTTTTGAATCGGTTTGAAGTAGGTTCTTCGAAAAAATGTGCTTAACAAAATGAGATCCATGAAGGCTATATTTGTTAATTTTTTTAAAGTATGTAATTGCAACTAAGTTGTACAATGAGTTGCAAGCACGTCTGCAACACAATTGCAACTTGGTTGTAGCCTATTTAACAGAAACATTTTCAATGAACTCATGTACAGTAAACAAGCGAGTAAGCAAGCAGGTAGAAGAAACATTTTCAATGAACTGTCTCAGGTTGGCTCAGCAGCTCACGTTCCTTCATTCCTTGTGCATCGGACGACGCTGGCACAAAATTGCTTGTAAAGCTGCTTGCTCATAGGCAGATGTTTGGGTTGGCTGTGGGTGTGCTCAGAAGAAAATTTGCCGCAGGGAGCAAGGAAAGTGTGTCAATGGTAGTTCTATTTTCACTCGACAAAGCATTGAGCCATCCTCAGGGACTTCACGTACAAATGATGTATAGGGTGAGAGAAAGAGAAAGAAAGAACTTCACTGGAAGGAAAAAAAAAAAAAAAAAAAAAACTAAAACAGTCATTGCTTGCAGCAAATAACACTACTAGGAATACATGCAGTGAGTCTCAGCAGGCATGCCAGGCATCACAGCATCTGCATTGATCAAACATGCGAGCAGGGAATCTATCTGATCTCTATGATCAGTACAACTACAACACCAGGCAACAGTTGGAGACGACCGTGAATCCGTGGATGAATCGATGAACAAAACTAAACGAGAGCCAGGCCAGTGACAAGCATCCAAGAAGCGCATGCTAGCTCCGCCTGCTACCATGCATGCACGTACCAACTAAGCTTTGTGCGTTGCATGCCAATGGGTCCTGCATATGCCGGTTGGAATCTGATTGGGTAGGCCAGTTGTGACTGCCCTGGACGGCTGGTTGCAACTCCGTTTGTATACCAGTTGCTACATAGTTGCAACCCAGTTGCTACATAGTTGCAATCAGTAACACACAGAGATGCAACTCCTTATAAAAATAATAAAATATATCAATATTGGATCTAGTTTTGTTAAGCACATTTTTTGAGTAAGATGCAGCAAATGGTTTGTTAATAGGGGTTACGGTTTAGGAAAAAATTATTTCAAAGAATTGAACTCACAAAATATTTCATCCATGCATGCATGCTGGCTGCTAGTTATATTTGTTGCACGTGGCTAACCATGAGTGGTGAGAAGTAGCAAATTAGCTATTGGTTGTCTCGGGTGCATGCACATTGGTTAGTTCGCTCTGACTCGCTTACGGCCTGGGTGCATTCTGTACAGAGCCGGTTACTACATAGTTGTACATATAACCCGTTACTACACAGTTGCAATCCAATTGCTACTCTGGTTACAATCAGATATGATACCAACTCTGAATTGCAACTGAATCCGGTTATGAAGACCAGATGCAAAAGGTACACAAAGTTATAACTAGTTGCAACTCGGTATTATACAGAGTTGCAATAAGTAATACATAGAGATGCAACCCGTGTAAAAATAATTAAATATATCCATATTGGATCTACTTATTGTTAAGCATATTTTTTGAGTAAAATGTAACAAACGGATTGTTAATCGGAGTTATGGTTTAAGAGAATTTATTTTAAAGAATCTAACCCACAAAAGATTCCATCCATGCATGCATGTCGTCTAGTGGGATTTGTATGCAACGTGGCTGTGCATAGTAGATGGATGATACAAATTAATTAGGACGCACACACCACTTGTTTGGCTGAGTGTTCTATAGATCCGGCGCACCAACAGCCTGGGTGCATTCTATGTACAGGATGCACCCGGTGCATTATAGCAAAATTATATATATATATTCGTCGCTCTGATGAATAGGGGTATATACAAGTCATACACGTACATAGCGTACACCACAAGCAAGTCCATTATTCATGCATTTTGACCAGCATCTTCAAATCGAAGTACTCCTGTGACTAATGAGTCACCGGAAATAATCCTGGATGACGTACGACGGAGCTCCCATGCATCATCACTTGAACTGCAACTTGGATGTAAATGTTTGGCCAAATTTCCATCCTTGTGGCACCACGTTTGTGAATTCAATAATAGTCTGTCCGTCGGTGTCGGTGACTCTAAACGAGAGCATTTGCCCTGTAAGATAGGCCGCAGAGTGCCAGTTTGCACCCCAGTTGCGCGCCATTGGGGTCCAGTCGGTCGAATTCGAACTCTTGACACATCCATGGACTTGATGGAGCCGGCAGCCGCAACGTTGGTCACATGCACAAGATTGAAGTAGTCATGTCCATTGATCGTGAACCTGACTCCACCTCGCTTCACGCAAGGAACTCTACAAGCAAGCAGGAACTCTAGTATTAAGACATTGCATCCCAATAAACTTTTGGTTTTTGATGATAGATCGAGGCTATATAGCTAGGAAGAAGTAGGAAATAAATTAATGAAAGACCTCTGGTACTGTGGTACATGACGGGGATGATGCCACCGCTGTAGACGCCGATCTTCTCCCAGGCCGGCTGCGCCATGTCGAAGTGTGGGCGCTGCTGATTGCACCACCCGCCATCGGGCAGCGCCAAGTTGGGCGGGCAGAAGTTGGTGGCCGACGCCGGGCTTGCAGAACCTCGGGTCGGCTCTCTTGCGGTCGCACGCGATCTTGTAGCACTGCCCGCACGAGGCGCCGTCGTTGAAGAGCACCGTGCTCAGCGCCGCCGTCCGCGTGCCGTAGCCCTGGGAGTAGAGGTTGCCGTACCCGCACGCGCCGCCTGCCACCATAAATATAGGAGAGTTAGATACTTAGATTTGACGACGACAGATGCGAATGTGATATCGGTCGGCACACTGCATCATGCTGATGCCTTGATGGCAGATGGCATAGAAACTAGAAAGCTGAAAGCTATCCCATGCATGGTTCTTGAGCGGCTAGCTAGAGCTTACCCATGGTGTCCGAGGCATCAGCGCCTCCATAGAACGTGGCATGCGCCTTTAGCCACCCGGTTGGTGCCGGAGACGACGACGTGGTGGAGGGGACGGTGTCATTAGAAGCCATGGCCGACACCCAACCGGCAGCTGCGAGCAGCAAGAGTGTGAAAAGTCGAGCTCTAGCTGGAGCCGCCATCATACCTCTAAGAAGTAAGAGCCGTACAAGAAGAATCTGCTGGAGTACTATATGTTTTTTTCGATAGTGGAGTACTATATGTACGTATAGCTCGATCAGAAAGTGGAGCTGCGTGTGTTGCCTGAATATGGAGTACTATATGGACGGATTTTGTTGTGATGATTAAAGTTTTCCAAACGGGCCAAGCCCGCTGGGTCGACACGAGCACGGTACGAATTGGCCTGGTACGAAAACGGCCCGGCCCGGCAGATACCGTGCCCGTGCCTGGGCCGCGATGCCAGCACGATGGCACGGCACGGGCACGGCCCACTTCAACGGCTGGCACGGGGGCGGCACGGCCTCGAGCCGTTGGATGGAGCCCCCCGCCTGCTGACAGTTGGATCTAGGGGTCGGGTGGGACGGCTTTATAAGCCAGCCGCCGCTCCTGGCTCCGCACCTTTCCAAACCCTAGCTCATTCCGTCCCCATTCCAGCCGCATGGCCGCATCGAGCTCTCCCATCGACTGAAACCCTAGCCGCTCTCATCTCTTCTTCCCGCCGTCCGGTGGCTGGTTAAGGCGGCGGTTGCTGGCACGGGCACACAGCACGGCCTTCTACACCACTCTTCCTTCTCCCTGACCTTCGATGTAGCTTTCTCGTCGAGATCCACCACCGTTCGTCTTCGTCTCTGTCTCTCACTCTCATCGACCTCGCCGGAGTCCGGCATCATTGGGGCTCTGCTCTGATGCGTTGAGGTACCAGGGTGTCGGGTCTCCGCGACGTCGTTGTCGCCGTTGTCTCTGGTGCTCCGTCAAGAGAGGTGAGCCGTAACCCTAGATCTGTTCGTTTTTGTTCTTCTTCTTGATTTCTTCATGATTTTCTATTAACCATAGGTGTTCTTGTTGTTCTTGGTTTTGGTAGGCGTTGGTGTTGAGGGACCGAAGGCCGGCGACGATGAGATGTCGGACGAGCAGGAGGACATCGGTCTCTCCATGACCATCAACGACGAGCTACGCCTCTGCGGGATGACCAGAGACGACGAGGACGATGTCGCTGGGGATGCCGAGGAGCCCTTCGGCCGTCGTGCTGCCGAGGAACTCTACGGCCGTACTGCTGCTGACCCACTTCCCGTCGACGACACTGACGCCCCCAACCCCGACGGCGATGTGGTGATGTGGTTTTAGTGCCAAGGCATGGCACTAGTCCGCTGGGCTGCCGTGCCCTGTGGCACGGCACGGCACTATCTGAGGGCTTTAGTGCCGTGCTTGGGCCAGAGTCTGGGCACGGTGGCACTACACGGCACAGCACGGCAGTGACACTGTGCCTGATAGTGCCGTGCCATGTAGTGCTAGTGCCGTGTAGTGCCAGTGCCGCCCGTTTGGGAAACTATAGTGATGACGTTTGGGAAACTATAGTGATGATGATGGTGCGATGATTGGTCGTCTATATATACACACACAGCCTTAGCCTTCGTAATCACGGTTGATTGGCGGCTTGGGGATTGGCTAATAAACTTATATTAATTATAAGGGCGTCGAACGAATCGAAGCAAGCATGGTAATCCACTAGCTAGCGTGCACATGTGTATGGCTATGCAGCCCAGCATGCATGGCTTAAGGTGTAATCCACAAGAGAGACGCATGTACACGCCGCAGATGCGCGTTATATACGATCATTTGTATATATACTTGCTAGTATATATAATCCACTGCAGACGCGCGCGGTTGTGAAATGAAGGGCTCCCCTTGTCTAAGAAAGGAAAGGATGCCGTCGTTTGTTTCGTCAGAGGCACGTACGAGTGATGATCTGCACCTGGACCTGAACGAAACATCTGCTATATATTAGCTGCACCCATCTGCGTGTAAGTGACATTAATGATAAGAGTACCCAATAATTTCTTCGGAAAAAACATAGTATTTTTCAACTCCCAAAAAAGTATTGGGAGAAATAAGAGCAAGTATAATAAGGGGCTGTAAGCAAGCTGAATGCTGAGGTGGAGGAGAGAAGGAAGGAGAGAGAGGAGAAGCAGGCTATAAGCTTACAGTCAGTTTGTACACAGAAACCAAGAAACTCTGAGAGAAAGACAAGTGGACCATGTATTAATTGTGAAGATATAACTACTATATGAGTGGGCTGAGATGTAGGCCGTAAGGATTCATACAGCCAGTAGCCGGCTGTATTATTAACCTTGCTCTAAATAAGAATATCTCCAAGAGTTTCCAATAATTCACTTTCAAAAAATCAAAATTTTAGTCCCACACAATTTTTTTTGCACCAGTTTTTTTTTCTGCGTGAGATCAGAACAACAGTCGCATCTACGTCGTCGCGACCTCCCTGCATGCTTCTGCCGATCCCCATACTATCCCAGCCGGCTGCCAGTACCTCCCAGCCGGCCACCGGCCACGCAGCAGGCCGCCCAGCCTTGCCCAGCCGCAATCAGGAGGCTGCAGCCGGCCCTTAGCCTCTCCCGGCCGGCTATAGTTGGCTGGGAGCGTCTCCCGGCTAGCCATTGCAGGCTGCCATCATTCACACACGCAGATTAGACGTCATGAGTGCTTCCAAATCACTTTTTCAAAGAGAATTAGATGATTCATCTTCAGATGGCGATGACTATTTCATCTTGTTAGCAACTCGAATTGTCAAACATATTCGAATGGTAAAGGAAGTCATGGTGGTTTTGTCTCATGCCATATAGTTATTAATCGAGATAGAGAAGGCGGCCACCAAAGGATGTTTTAATATTATTTGGCAAATGATCCCACATAAGGCCCACAATTAATTATTCCATCGGAGGTTCATGTGCATTCACTTGTGATTGGTACATAGTATGTTAGTCAACTATTATATGATTTGTTCAATTTTCCTGTTTATTTCTGGCATAGGATGAGTAGGGATCTTTTCCTATGCATAATGCATGTTGTAGAATCAGACGATGACTACTTTGTGCAGAAAAGAATTACAGCCAATTTACTTGGATTAAGTTGCTTCTAAAAAGTTATTGCAGCATTTCGTATGCTAACATATGGAATTCCAGCTGATGGTACAGATGAGTACGTTCGTATTGGACAAAGTACTGCAATTGAGAGCCGATGGAAGTTTGCTATTGCAGTAATAAATATTTGTGAAGATGAATATTTGAGATCACCTAATGTGGCTGACACAGTACGATTATTGACACACGGTGAGCAAAATGGGTTTCCTGGTATGTTAGGGTCCATCGATTGTATGCTTTGGGCATAGAAGAATTATCCATTATCATTGCAGGGTTAGTACAAGGGACATATGGAGTAGCCCACTATTATTTTAGAGGTTGTTGCTTCGAACGATCTTTGGATATGGCATGCCTTTTTTGATATGCTTGGCATGCCTTTTTTGATATGCCTAGGTCTCATAATGATATCAATGTGCTTCATTGGTCTCCTTTATTTGCAAAACTGGCGGAGGGTAGAGCTCCTGAGATGAACTCCTCATGGGCTACTTTTGTAAGTCCATCTCTCAGCCCATGGGGAACAAGAAGAAATATTTTGCCAAAGCACAGAAAGCAGCAAGGAAGGATGTCGAAAGAGCTTTTAGGGTTCTCCAATCTAGCTAGGTTCGCCATTGTTCAAGGAGCAGCTCGTTTATGGGACATAGAGACTACAAATATTGACAAATAAATCAATATCAAAAGCCATGTACAAGAAAATTATGTTTACAACATCATAACCTAGCATACCAAAAAAATTATGTGAACATCCACACAGAGACCATAGCCCACCATGGCCATCGATTAGCCAACAACAGCGACCCCTGGCTAGGCCATGACCGGCCACAGATAGGCAGCAGCTAGCCACGGATGCAAGGTAGGTAGGGGCAGCCAAGGGTGGCCAGCAACTAGTCACGGCCGGCCGCAGCCAGGCAGGGGCAGCTAGCGGCGGGCTGTGCTTGCACTACTACCCTCGTCGACAGTGATAGTCATAGCCATCACCGTTGCTATCTGAGACTGGGATGTTCACTACACTGCCGTTTGGGCTTATCATCCATCCGTGATAAGGTCTTTACTTCCATCGCATTAGAGCACGGCTCGCCTATGTGGGTATGCACTAACACCGCCGCATGGCTTATGATCCGTCCATGATCAGATCCTTATTCTGTCGCATTGAGGCCTGACCCGCCTATGTAGGTGTACACTAACACCGCCGTGTTGGCTTATGATCTGTCCATGATCAGGTCCTTGTTTCCATCGCATTAGAGCACGACCCGCCTGTGTTGAGGTGAACATCACCGTCGCTTCAACGAATGAACCGCCTGGTCATAGGGCATCGTCACCGTCGCGTTGCAGTACGATCCGCTCGTGATGATCCTTTAGTTGGTGTTGGGTTACTAAATGATTTGGTGGTGATACACTATTGACCCCTACCGCATTAGACGAATAGCGGCGGTGATGCCGTCTGCTTCACCAACGGCGAGTGGTACGGTGGTGATGACAAAATAACCAACGGCCCATACATCCGACGATGACAAAATTACTTTTGGTTTTCACAATGTATTTATTAATTCAGCTGGGCCTTAATAACTTATTGAACGCACACCATACAAATATAATCATTACGCATCATTCATCATGTCCACAATGAAGAGTACTTGTTATAATAACAATGCTCGACACTAACATAGCAACTGTGTCAACTGATGAATTAACACAAGCAGTACATAGATAGCATAATAAAGGTTCTGCTCCCTATAGACTTACGTAAGGTAGATGTGCTCCGCTCCTTCAGATTGGCACTCCTTGATCAGCTTGGCAGCCAATGTACGATGGAACCCCTCTTCCTCCTCCCATAGCCATTGTAGGAAAATCGTTCAAAAGCATTGAGACTCCAAAACCTACACAATGAAAAGCAGCAGAATTAATAATATTCAACATACCATTGGTTTAGTTACCAAGCCAAAATTTGACTATATATAGACTCAAAACAACTCCCTACCAGAACAAAGACATGTCTTAACAATAAAATATAATATATGCACCTTTACTGCTCT